TATGTATATATATATATATATATATATATATATAGGGGCCGGTTCCTGTGAGAATGCACCCTGTGGAGAGAAATGAGAATAAAATCTAGCCGTCGGATTTGATGCATCGTGCGGCTCAGATTGCATCCTGCGCTCAGATTTTGAGATAATGCATTTTCGAAGGTTTATGGTGCATTTCGACGTGATGCATTTTCGCACCATTTTAGTGCATCTAATTTTGATGAAATCTCGGCCCTTAGATCTCACAATCTAAAGCACCAGATTCATTCTCATTTCTCTCCTAAGATTGCATTCTCACCAGAACCAAAATCTATATATATATATATATATATATATATATATATATATATATATATATATATATATATAGACACACACGCGGAATATATATCATGCCTCACCTCTCACTACAATGAGTTAAATATAAGAGAGAAAATTCGAGAGGCTTTTTTTGAGAGATCTTTGTTTATACATTTATACAGATCTTCATTTTTTAGGACACATTTCTAGCGCAAAATAACCTATAAAAGTCATATTTTGAATTGGATACTTCTCCAACACTTTTATCAATTTATTTATGGTATTTGGATACTTTGTTTTTTAGAACACATTTTAGCGCAAAATAACCTAAGGTCACATTTTAAATTTGATACTTCTCCAACAGTTCTATTAACATATTTATGGTATTTGGAGCCTCCTAACAGCTATTTTTTTCAAATCAAAGGCTCCTAATCCAATCTTATAAATACTCAACAATTCTCATTATATTCATTTTGATCATTAATCCAAGCTCTAATCTCCTGTTTGATATTCTAAAGTGTGTTCTTGGTCTTGTTCTTCATTTGTATCATTTTGGATATATAACGCCTTATTTCTCTCCTGATTTTTATACACACACATAAGCATGTGATAATAAGTATATATACTCTCATATTAATAGGTTGAACTTGTATCTTTTATAGAGTATAATATTTGTTCTTCACTGGCCAAGGATTATTCATTAATTTTATCATAGACCAAGGTGTTAGACTTATTTTATGTATTCTTTATACACACTTCATCAATTTGTAACGGTAAAAGATAGCCGAGAAAAATTCTTGGGCAAATGATTGAGGATAGCCGCAGAAATCATTAGTCTTCAAATCTTCAATGTAGTAGTACGAGATAGCCGTTGAGAAATCTCAGTTTAATTTAATCCTATTCACGAGGGTTATTTGCCAAAATTAATGCGGCACTTTGATAAAGTTCGAAACCGGGACTTAATGGATTTGAAAATCCTTAAGGGGAAGCCTTAAGATACTAGAGTAGGGAGTTCTCTAACAAGAATAAAGTTGGTGTATCTCTTACTTTTTACGCTTTTGTTCCTATGGTTTGTCTATTGCTTCTTCGTTTACCAATACCAACTTTTTAAACCTCGAAAAGGTTTTACACGTCTTATTCACCCCACCTTCACCCCCCTCTATGTTCCGAAAAGGCGTCGGAACATAGATTAACACTTGAAGTATAACTTGAATAGAGTGTTACAAACCAAGGAGAAAGACACAAATAGAATTTGACGCCAGAAGTCATACATAAGTAGATTGGTCAATAGATTAGATGACATCTACTATGATGGATTGGTGTAATCTTTTATGATGATTTAGTGAAAGACTGTTA